AAAACCGGTCCTGGAGAATGGGTCCGGACCTCTGGGGGTCGACGTCATGAAAAATTCATGACGTCGGGGGTCTGGCTCCGCCTCCCCCCCCCCCCGCCTCCGCCCCTCCCCCCGTTGCGCCCCTCGCCCTTCCCCCGTCCCCCCTCCCCCTTCCCTCCCCCCCCTTTCGGATGCAGCTCCTGGGAGGTCACATTCTGATTTTGCCCTGGTCCGAAATCCGGCTTAATCCGGCTTAATCCCGCTTAATCCGGCTTAGTCCCGCTTGATCCCGCTTTATCCAGCTTAATCCCGCTTAATCCGAGCCCCACTCCGGCGCAACAGCCCCCCAATGGGGCTAAATCTTTTTCAATCCTTCCGACGAAGACCCCCCAATAGTTGTCGCAGAAATCCCCTGGTCGCCCGCGTCTCACTCTCTGATAATATCAGAGCCCGCCTCCCTGCCTCCCATGGTCGCCCTGGTCGCCCGCCTCTCACTCTCTGATAGTATCAGAGTCCTCTCCTGGTTGCCCGCCTCCCTGCCTCCTTTCCCCCCTCCCTCGTGAGCCCCATCCACGCATCGCGGAGGGAGGGGGGAGAGGGAGGGCCAAGGGTGGTCGATGGCTTTGACGCTGCTCAGCGAAGCGTGGGATGCGACAACGGAGCCAAACGTCATCAGCTACCATCCCGAGATTCGCGCGTGCGAGAGAATGGGAGAAGGTGCAGTGGCAGCGCGCGCCGTGAACCGGAGCCCCTTGGGCGCATGCGCCGCTGGCATTCGGGTGGGGCTCGCGCGCCTGGGAGCGCGCGGGGGCGTGCCCGGCGTGCCCCCTCCAGGAGCAGCAGGAGCAAGAGCAAGAGGGGCGACGCTTCGCGACCCGGGCCTTCGAGGGCCTCCCACCAAACCACCCCAACCCAACCCGAAGGCTCAGATTCACCCTCGATTTCCAGTGGGGGGGGGGGTCGGGAAACATCGGAAAAAAAAACCCGTGGAACCCTTACCCCCCCCCCCCACCCGAAATTCGAGTCTTCGGGTTGGGTTGGGGTGGTCTGGTAGGGAGGCCTCCGAGGGCCTCCTCCTGGTCCCTCGGGGCGCCGGGGCCCCCGCGCCGCGCTCCAGAGGGGGGCCGCCTCGGGAAGGGGGGCCGCGGCGTCGGAGGCCCGTGCTCTCTCGGGCCGCCCAAGCGCACCTCGAGCTCTCGCTCGGCCCCCGGCCCCCCGAGGGGGGGGGCGGCTCGTCCATCGCCCTTCTAGGTGCCCAGGCCCACTGGCGCGGCGAGAACCAATCACGAAGGGCTTCATTTGGTGAATATACATACATACATACATACATACATACATACATACATACATACATACATACATTTTCTTGGATGGACGAGCGCGTTTTTTTGATTGTTTTTTGACGAGCGCGTCTCGGATTTTGGCGGTCCAGTTCTCGTGGGATGTCTGCAGCGGGGGGAGAACCGCAAGACCCGAGTAAGAAGGAACTCAGACTGTACCTCTATCGTGCGTTCCATCAGTCGTTTCTTCCCAGGCATCTTCCAAGCGATGGGCCAATTCGGGGGTTCGAATATCGCGTCATCGCCTCGGTCGAGCTGTGCTTGCACCTCCCGTTGGCTGTACCGTATGTTCGCGGAAACGCAAGACCCGAGTAAGCCGGAACTCGGGCTGCCGCCTTTTTGTTTGACGAGCGCGTCTTGGATTTTGGCGGTCCAGTTTTCGTGGGGTGTCTGCAGCGGGAGCTCGCGTGAAATTTCAGACTGGGCCTCGTCATTTTTGTGATGGCCCCGTCGGGCCAACCCGAGTCCCCCGTACCCGAATCTTACGTCTCCCCGACCCGAGGGGGGGGGGGGCGGCTCGTCCATCGCCCTTCTACGTGCCCAGGCCCCCTGGCGCGGCGAAAGCCAATCACGACGGGACTTTTTTGGTTCATGTATATATATATATATATATATATATATATACATACATACATACATATATAGACATATATATATGTGTATGAGTATACACAAAACATTTTCGGCCACCGGGGCCCTTTCCGGGCCTCGGGGCCGTCCAAAGACGACTCCTGGGAAGGGGTGCAGACCTCTGGGGTTCTGTCGGGCGTGTCCCTCTGCAGGGGGAATATCCCGAGATAGTTAGAAAATAGTACGGAGACGATTATGTCACTATTGGTCAACTATTTGAAAGCATGTTCCAAACTATGTTTTATGTTTCTTCTAAAATCCGCCTGCAGGCGGACATGCCCGACCTACTCTGGGGGTCGACGTTGCAACCAAAATCGTGACGTCGGGGGTGCGGGTGGGCGGCCCCGCGTGGCCCGGGAGGCGGCGACGCCTGCTGCTGCGAGTCGGACCTGAGGCCTCTGGGGGTCGCGTGGTTGCTAGAAGTGCCACTGGCCTTGTGGACGACAGTCAATGGAGAGGAAGCATGTTGCCAAATAGTGTCCAGATGTAAACATATCTTTGCATGAAAAACCGGTTTCAAGCATGTGTATAACATTTTTCAAACATTTTGAAGGCACTTTTAAGTTAATGATTGGATTGTTAGGGTGTCCACTGTCACGGCATCCGCAACCCTGGCCCAGGGCGCCCCCAGGATTGTCAAGGAGGCCCCCCACGGCCTCCAGAGCACCCCTCGCGAGGCCCAGAGGGCCCCCGGGGGCTCCACAATGGAGCGAAAGGCTGGGGGCACTTCGGGCCAGGGGCACCTTTAGCTATCCCCGAATCATAGTGCATCCAGCATCCATCTCCCCTGCTCATCAGACCTCTAGCGACTTGGGCAGTGCTATGACGGTCGGCTGTTGCCGAGTTTGAGCCTCGGGAGGCTCGTGTCGGCCTCCCGCGGCGAAAGACAAGTCCTGGGGACGGGGTCGAGGGCTACATTCTTGGATGGGGGGCGTCCAAGAGGGGGGTGATGACTGGGTGTGGGTAAACACTTTGGCGGGGGCCATGATATCTCCCCAGATCTCTAGTAGGAGGAGGAGAAGGAGGAGGGAGGAGGAGGAGGAGGAGGAGGAGGAGGAGGAGGAGGAGGAGGAGGAGGAGGAGGAGGAGGAGGAGGAGGAGGAGGAGGAGGGAGAGGAGAGAGGAGGAGGTAGGAGGAGGAGGAGGAGGAGAGGAGGAGGAGAGGGAGGAGGAGGAGGAGGGAGGAGGGAGGAGGAGGAGGAGGAGGAGGAGGAGGAGGAGGAGGAGGAGGAGGAGGAGGAGGAGGAGGAGGAGGAGGAGGCCCCCCCTCTGGATGTGGGTAAACACTCCGTTCTCAGCTCCGTGCTCGGCTCCGGCGCTCGGCCCTCTCACCTTGGGGCGCCTCGTCGGGAGGCCCTCCTGGTGGCCCCTGGCGGCCGTTGTGTGACGCCTGCCAGGCCTCTCGCGGAGAGCGCCGGAGGGGCGTTGCGTTGGGGCGCGCAGAGAGCCGCGGGAGGGCGTGCACGCGGGGAGGTGTGAAGAAAGGGTTAAGTCGGGCCTGTCCCTCTACAGGGGGAATGTTCAAAAGTAGTCAGAAAATACAGTCGGGGCCTTGAAGAAGGAACGCTTTTCGTTGGGGAGGGGCCAGAGGGGCGTCGTTGGGGCGCGCAGAGAGCCACGGGAGGGCGTGCACGTCAGGAGGTCGGGAGCCTTGAGACGGGGGTCAATGCAAACGGGGGTCAGCCAGGGCACCGGGTCCTGCAGGATCCCGCGAAGACCCCCTCTGGCTGACCTGGGTTTGCGAGCCGCTCGTGGCCGCGAGGCGGCCGCGCGTAGTGGCTGACCCGGGTTTGCGAAGACCTGCGTTGCAGTTTTTGTTCGTTTCCTGCATTGCAGTTTTTGGTTTCCTGCTGACCCGGGTCTGGATTATCCGGGTCAGCAGGAAACCGAAGAGGTGTGAAGAAAGGGTTCAGTCGGGCCTGTCCCTCTACAGGAGGAAGATTCAAAACTAGTAAAAAAAATAAGCAGGGGATTATTTGTTGAGCATTTTTTGACCATTTTGGAGCATTTTTGTTCGTATTTCTTTGTTGTTCGTCGAAACTCCCTCTGTAGGGGGACACGCCCGACTTGAAGAAAGGGGGATCCCTCAGAAGATGACGGGCACCTTGCAGTGGAGGCCCATGCCAAGAAACACGCGGCTTGCCTCCAGGGTGCCCTGGAATTCTCGGGTTTCGATGCCGTCGCTGGGGAGAGCGCGACGGTCCCACTCGGAGGATCAATGGACGTCCTGGGGTCTCAGGGTCGGGATTATTGTGGAAGGTTTCTTGTGGTCGGACCCCTACTCTAGATCAGTGGTTCATTATACCACGTCCCACTGTGTCAGGGGGCACACGGACGGATCAGATTCAGGAGTCCGCTTTAGGATTCTAGCATCGGCAACCTCTGCGGGGAATGTCGGGAAGTCGATGTGCCAAGACGGAGTGTGGATGGCGGTCGCGCTGGGTCGCGCCATCAGTCTTGCATGATGGGAACAGTTGTTCGTAACAGAGTCTTCCCCACTCCCAGTGCATTCATGATGCTCATGTGAGGGGGGCGATCGACTCCTGCGTCCCATCGGCCAACGACGACGGCCGTTTGGGAGGTGACTCGTATCACCGCATCGCGTCACCGGGAAGACAAAACCGTCGGGGGCGGGGAGGTTCCCGTCGGTCGGGGAGGTGATCGTGCCACCACTGGTCTTGCCACTTGCCTCTATGATCTTTTCTTCCCATCCCCTACTCTTCTCCCTCCCCCCCTCCATCCTACTCGCCCTACTCGCACCTTCTCCGCCTTGCGACGCGCACTCTGGTGGCAACCATGCGTGGGAGAGGGTGAGACAGCGGATGCCACCAGGTGCGAAACTACGACGGCGCACCTTGAACGACTGTGGGAGGAAGAGGAGGAGCGAGGAGCAGGAGGAGGAAGAGGAGGAGGAGGAGGAGGAGGAGGAGGAGGAGGGAGGAGGAGGAGGATGGAGGAGGAGGAGGAGGAGGTGGAGGAGGAGGAGGTGGTGGAGGAGGAGGAGGATGGAGCGCCCGGGCAGCTCTCTCCCTCCTCGCCCCCCTCCCGCAGGTACAAGCCCACCAAACACGGCCGCGCTGGCATGGGGGGCAAGATGAGCTTCATCCCGCTGAAGTGAGCACGCAGCGCCGGGCCGATGCACACGCGCACCCGCCGGGGCCGTCCAGGGTGTCACCGCGCCTGCGGCCCAGCCCTCCTCCTCCTCCTCCTCCTCCTCCTCCTCCTCCTCCCCTCCTCCTCCTCCTCCTCCTCCTCCTCCTCCTCCTCCTCCTCCTCCTCCTCCTCCACCTCCTCCTCTCCTCTCCTCCTCCTCCCTTCTCCTCCTCCTCCTCCTCCTCCTCCTCCTCCTCCTCCTCCTCCTCCTCCGGCCTCGCGAGGCCGCCACGGTGGGTTGTGTGTGTGTTGGGCCGTGGCTCTCGGGTCCTGGGGCTCTGGAGAGACCGCCCGGGAAGCACGGCGCGTGGCGTTGCGTCGTGCCGGCAGAGCCGCTGCGGTTCGGGGGGGGGGAGGGCACCGCGCCCGAATCGCTTATGCTCGTCCCAGCTGCCCAGGGGGGCGAAAGGGAGGCACAGGGAAACGAGGAGGAGCAGGGAGGCAGGAATGGGAGGAGGAGGAGGAGGAGGAGGAGGAGGGATGTGGAGCGAGGAGGAGTAGGCAGGGAGGGAGAGAGGATGATAAGGAGGGAGGAGGGAGAAGGAAGGCAGGGGTGGATATTAGGTGGATCGAAGAGGTAAGAGGAGAAACTCGAGATCCCCTCCCCCGCTTCTCCCTCTCACCCCACCCCCCTCCTCCTCCTCCTCGTTCTTTTGATGAGACACTGCTGAACATTGTCATATTCCCGACACTTACTTCCCCTGTCATCATAATCCCCTACTCTCCCTCCCCTTTCCCTGCCGTCATTTTACCTCTCTCCACCCTCTCTTCCTCCTCCAGCTCTTTCTTTCTATTCGTCGTCCTGCCCCTCTTCCCCTCATCCTCCCTGCCTCCTCTCCCACCCTTCCTTCAATACTTTTCCGCCAGCAATCCATCCACCGCCCTCCTCGGTCCCCCCTCCGCCACCTCCCCCTGCTCATCATCATCTTCCTTTCTCGTCCGTCCACCTGCCCATTCCCCTCGCCCTCGCCCTCCGCCTCGTCGCAGCCAAGCGGAGCCTCGTGCTCAGGCCTGCTGTTCGGGTCACGATTCATCTCTCCGCCACCGGTCCGCCCCATCCGCTCATTGCTTCTCCTGCTCCTCCTCGAGGAGGAGGAGGAGGAGGAGGAGGAGGAGGAGGAGACGAGGAGGATGGAGGGGGGTACGTAGATGAGAGGAGGAGGAGGAGGAGGAGGAGGAGGAGGAGGCGGAGCAGCAGCAGCAGCAGCAGCAGCAGCAGCAGCAGCAGCAGCAGCAGCAGCAGCATCATGATAGCTACGACGCGACGGCGACGACGACGACGACGACGACCCTCAGGCTCATATCGCAGGGAGAGGAGCCCAGGTCGTCCCCAGATATTCTGGAGACCCACCGATCGGGCCTCGTGGGATCTGCGCGGCTTGTTTCACGGCTTGTACTGGGACGGGAGGACTGTATCATGCGGATGTTGCTAGAGGTGCCCCTGGCCCGAGGTGCCCCCAGGACTTCCAGGGAGGGCCGCCTGGGCCTCCAGAGCACCCTCGCGAGGCCCGGAGGACCCCAGGGGCTTGAACATTGAGCGAAAAGTTGGCGGCATCCCCGAATCATAGTACATCCATCTCCCCTGCTTATCAGATCTCTAGCGACTTGGGCAGAGCTATGACGGTCGGCTGTTGTCGAGTTTGAACCTCGGGAGGCTCGTGTGGGCCTCCCGCGGCGAAAAACAAGTCCCGGGCTCGGGGTCGACGGCTACATTTTTGGATGGGGGGCGGCCAAGAGGGGGGTGATGACTGGGTGTGCGTAAACATTTTTGGCGGGGGCCATGATATCTCCCCAGATCTCTAGTAGGAGGAGGAGAAGGAGGAGGGAGGAAGAGGAGGAGGAGGAGGAGGAGGAGAGAGGAGGAGGAGGGTTGAGGAGGAGGAGGAGGAGGAGGAGGAGGCCCCTCGTCCGCGCACATGCCTGGGGCCATGCCTTGCGAACCCTCCTCTTGGACGCCCCCCGCTTGGCCGCCCCCGGTCGGCAGGGCCTGCGCTCCGGGCACTCCCCGGAGCCCCGGAGGCAGCGCAGCTGGCCCCAAGAGGCCCCGCCTGGGGTTGAGTCGGGCATGCCCCTCTACAGGAGGAGTGTTCAAAAATAGCGAAAACATAATTTGAAAAATAGTTTTTAAAAATATTGAAAAATAGGAAAGTAGGAGGAGTATACAAAAACAGGAAAAACATAGTATGGGAACCATTTTTCTGCTACTTTGGATTCTGTTCGACTGTTTTCAGACGTTTGCGATCTAGGACTGCAGGAGGACACGCCGGCCTTGACCTGGGGCAGTCCGTTGCGAGCTCGGCGCGCACGCGCCGCGGCGCGCTCCAGGAACGACCCCCTACTGGGGTGCTGGGACAGTCCCCCGCCCCAGGAGATCCCAGGGCCTCCTACTCCTCCTCCACCTCCTCCTCCTCCTCCTTCTCCTCCTCCTCCTCCTCCTCCTCCTCCTCCTCCTCCTCCCCATCCTCGCCTCGTCCTCTGCCCGCGCCCAAACGCGTGTCCTGAGGTACCACCGCTGGCACGGTTTGCATGATGCTTGTCTGCGCGCACGGCACATGGGCGTCGTGTCGACCGGCGGCGACCCCAGCGCGCGCGTCGAAGGTTGAAAACGCCGCCCGCGGCCCAGACTCGGCCGGTCGTTGAACGCTCCGGCGTTCATGGAACGGCCGACCGTTCAAGCTTGGAGCCTGTTTTTGTGGATTCAGGCAAGTTTACTTGCATGGCGTTCGCCCCCGCCTCCCCCCCTCGCCCCTCTTCAAGCGAATACTAGCGTGCAAGTGCCTTTCGACTTGCGTGATCTCCGCGCCCCCCCCGAACGTGCAAGTCGTTTGCGGCTTGCTTCAGGCTCAGCCCCCCCCCCCCGTCCATGCAAGTCAACTTGCCAGAGTCTTAAAAAAAAACAGGCTCTTGAACGATGCCCCGCGGTGTCAGGAACTAACGCCGGGATCGACACGACGCGAACCTGCCGTAGACCCTGTGTGTGCGACGCCTCGCCGCCGCCACGGCCTGTATCGGTGAGCGCCCGCACTGTGTGTGACAGCCATGGCGAGCCCCGGCGACTAGATCACCTCCTCGCGGGCGGCCGAGCGATGCAGTCGCGGGCGCCGTAGAAGTACAAACATTGGAAGGCAGGAGTCTAGGCCCTGGCCTCCTAGGTGGGGTCGGAGCAGATGGGTCCGGTGGATCGCTCCGCGTCGCCGCTGCGCCGGCGATGCGGCTCCATGCGGGGGCCGATGCTCTCCACGCCAACATCGCCGATGCATTGCCGATGCATCGGCGATGCTGCGTGATCCCCCGACCCCATCTACAGTGGAGGCCCATGCCAAGAAACACCCGGCTTGCCTCCAGGGTGCCCTGGGTTTCTCGGGTTTCGATGGTTGTGCGATGGAGAGCGCGACGTTCCCACGCCAAGAATCAATGGACGTCCTGGGGTCTCAGGGTTGGGATTCTCGTGTGGAAGGTTTCTTGTGGTCGGGCCCCTACTGATCAGTGGTTCATTACACCACGTCCAGGGGGCACGCGGACGGATCATGTTCAGGAGTCCGCCTTAGAGTCCTGGCACAGGCAGCCTCCGCGTGGACGGTCGGGAAGCCGGCGTGCCAAGACGGAGTGTGCATGGCGGTCGCGCTGGGTCCCGCCATCAGTCCTCACCTCAGTGGGCCCTGGAAACGACAGGGCCGTTTTTTTTACCGGTTCCGTTTTGCCGTTTTGGTGCCGGTTCCGACGCCGTTGTTTTACCGGTTCCGTCGCCGTTCTTTTACGGGTTCCCCGCTCCGGTTCCAATCCTGAAGCCGTTTCCTGTCGCCGTTTCCGGTCGCCGTTTTTCTGCCGTTTCCATGTTCAAGGGACTTTTTTCGGAAACGGCGAAAAAGCGGCCCTGCCGTTTCCGGGGCCCACTATAAGGTCCTCACCCCCCTTACCACTTCCGTCCTTCATCATGGTTTTCTGTGGTCGGGCCCCGACTCTGCTCGGACCCCATCCAGGAGGCCCCCGCGTGTAGCAGGGGGTCTGCCCGGCGGCAGCCCGGGCGCGCGCGCGCGCGCGGCGCGCGGCCCCTGCCTGCGCGAAGAGGCCCTGGCATCGCTCGGACGTGTGCATTTGCTTCTCGACGAAACCGTGGAGGACCATCCTGGGCCATCGAGCCAGAAAGAAAACACGCCCGAAACCTAAAGAATGCACGGGAAGTGGACGTCCGAGCGATAGCGAGAGGCAGGGTCGCGGCGCCCCACACGCGCGCGGCTGTCCGCGGCGGCGGCCCGCGGGCGCCCCCGCCAGCTCTTGGGCACCCTCCCGGGGGCGAGCCGCGGGCCGTGGAGGACGGCGTGTGGTTGAGGCCGGATCCGGCTCGGGTTTCGACGTCTGTGGATGGGAGCCTCGGGAGGCGACCTCGAAATCGGCTTGTCCTGCACGTGGACTGCATTTTGGCCCCGTCTCCTGCTCCTCTCCGCGCCCTCCCTGCGCTCCTCCTCCCCCCGCGTTCTTCTTTTCCGTCTCCCTTCCCTTGTGAGCGGGCGAGTCCGGTTCCAAGTCCGGTCCCACATGTGTTCCAAGTCTGGCCCAAATCCAGCCCGAATCGGGCAGCGCTGGGGGCCACGTGGGCTCCCATGGAACACACACCGAAGGGGGTCCGCGCAAGCGGGGGCCAGCCAGAGCGCCCGATCCTGCAGGATCCTGCAGGGCCAGGGTCGCATCGACCCGGGCCTGGGCGCAGGATCCTGCAGGAGCTGCGCATTGACCCGGGCTTGGGTGCAGGATCTTGCAGCATCTTGCAAGATGCTACAAGGCCTGCCTGACCCGGGTTCGGATTGACCCGGGTCAAGAGATCCCCGAAACACGCAGTTCTCTCGGGCCGACACGTGTCAGGAGGGGAAAAAACACACAGACACAATTCATCGCCGATTCCCCAGAAAATATGGGAAATACGCGAAGTGGGGGGAAGACAAAACCCTAGAAAATATGGGAATATGGGGAATCCTTTTATTTGTGTGTATTTATTTGTGTGTCCTGGGGCCCCTTCATCGTGTTTTTTTAATCGGATCCGGCTTCAAGAGCACGCAGCTCTCGCAGGCCGAGGGGGAAGGAGCGACACCCCAACACCACCAGGAGGGCCACCTCCATCGGGGAAGAAGCAGCTGCATTCGCACAAACTTGTGGCGCTCCGCACGGATGTCTTGGATTCGCGTGGGGCCCTCCCGGCGGGCTCCGCGCGCCAGTGATGGGGGCACGGCGCGGGTCCAAGACATCCGCGCGGAGCGCCACAAGCAAGTTTCTGTGTATGCCGTTCGTCATCCGACTCTTCAACTCCTGCAGGGGGGTCCACGATGCCTCCCCGAGCTGGAGGCTGGGGATGCCTCGAGCGCGATAGGGGGGGACCACGCCACCAGGGAGACCTCCCTTGCTCCTCGCGTCTCCTCGCCCCAGTGGCGTTGGTGTCGCCTTTCATTCTTCCTATCTTGGAGCCCACGGAACTCGCCCTAGTGGTGTTGGTGTCGCCTTTCATTCTTCCCACCTTGGAGCCCACGGAACACAGCCCACGCTGTAAAATCATTTCGAATGATGGGGTCGACAGCCTCTGGGGACCGCCGGAGGAGATCGTGGAGGGCGTCGTGAGGTTTCGGAAGCCAGGGCCCACGGCATGAGATGTAGCAGGGATGAGGGTGTTGTCGAGGTCAGGTGCGGCAGTGATTGTACGTAGCACGTGCTCAGTGTTTGGTTCGGCCACTGTGTGATGTGGTATGTCCGTCCTGTTCGTTTTCTACTTGCTCTACTAGGCGGAGCCTCCGTAGCCCAAAGGGCTGATGGGATTAGGGTGATGGGCGGAGGGCCCTGGGGGGGAAGGGGGAGGCTGGGAACAGGGAGAAGTGGGAGTAGAAGGGCAGGTGGAGGGGGAGGGAATGGGTGAGTATAGCCATGTCTAAGGGGCGCAGGGCGGTGCTCAGAGGAGCAACCGGTACCGATACCGCTACCCTTAACTCGTTTTCGCCGTTTTGAGCCTCCTGGAAGGCCCTCGTCGCCACTGCGGATTTGCTTCGAAATTTTGGTCAGAACGCACCCCAGGAGCTGTCCGGGGAGTAGCGTTATCCGTGCCTTTAGGGTTCCTTAGGTCAGGGAACGATAAGGAGGCTGGCGAGGGGAGAATGGCCCGCGTATCTCGAAGACTGTTACAGGCCACCAGCCGTCTCCCATAAAACATTTCACCATCGTTACCGATATTGCATCATTGCAATGTTTGGCTCGGAACGTGTATATATATATATATAGAAATATACATAGATATATCAGCATGTGTCGTCAGCAGTGCAAACATGCGTATCGGATCGATCTACGCGCAGTCGTATGCACACCTCTCTGGGAGATTGGAGCTCAGAGACGATTGCTCCCTCGCGCCTTCGCTTGTTTTGCCTTTCCACGCGGGATGTCCACGTAGGTTCGAAACCGTCATGCACCCTCGACGCAGATCGCGACTTCCTTGTTTCGAGCGTCGCATTGCAAAGGCTCGGCGCCAGTTTTTGTCCTGAATGACTCCGTGCATGCGCCTCCTCCCTCCCTCCTTCCGCTCCGAGCCCTGCTCCCCACCAAGGAGCAAGGGCGCCCTCGAGGGCGCGAAGTTGTTCGCGCTTCGCGGTTCGGCTCCGATTCCTCCTCATCCTCCCCTTTTCCCCCGGGAGGCGGCGCGAGAGCGCGAAGTTATCCGCACTTCGCGCTTCGCGCGGCCGCGGAGCGCGAGGCTGGGAGCCCTTGAGGGAGGAGGGGTGGACGGGAGGAGGGGCTGGTCGAATGAGCAGAAGCTACATGTGCGCATCTTCACCTTCGGGGAGGCCGCGCGGACTGCCGGGAGATCGGCGCGCCGCCCTTTTTGCGCACGCCCTGCCTGGCGGAGCGGGGAGGGGCCCAGCGCGCTGGCCCAAGCGAGGTCCGAGTGGAGGTCCGAACGTTTGTGCACCTGCGTACAGTCAAGACGCCGACACAAGGAGAAGTTTGGGCCCGGAAAGGGGCTCGATGTTCCTCGGGTTCCTCCGGTGCTGTTCCTCTTGCCCTGCTCGGGCACGGCGGCGCCTACAGGGCCAAGAAGGGGCTTCGCTCCTCATGTAGCGTTCCTTCTTTCCGCGGCCCGACGGCAGGGCCCCGCACACGGGGACGTCGATAAAGCCGGGGCAGGGGCATGTGCACGCCGGGGTGGAGCTGCGGCCGTGGGTCGAGGCGCCCTCCCTGCCCTGTGTTTCTCTCGTCTGGCGAGGTCCTGGGTTGAAGCGCCCTGGATTGCGGGTCACCGAGAGGAGGAGGAGGAGGAGGAGCAGGAGGAGGAGGATGGGGGGGGAGGAGGAGGAGGAGGAGGAGGAGGAGGAGGAAGGAGGGGAGGAGGCGTAGGAGGAGGAGGAGGAGGAGGAGGAGGAGGTGGAGGAGGTGGAGGTGGGAGGAGGTAGGAGGAGGAGGTGGAGGAGGAGGAGGAGGAGGAGGTAAGGTGGTGGCCGGGGAGGAGGAGGAGGGGCGGACGGAGGCGGAGGAGGAGGAGGAGGAGGAGGAGGAGGAGGAGAGAGGAGGAGGGAGGAGGAGGAGGAGGAGGAGGAGGGGGGAGGAGGAGGAGGAGGCAGGTGGAGGAGGATGAGGAGGAGGGGGAGGAGGAGGAGGAGGAGGAGGAGGATGGAGGAGGAGGGTGGAGGTAGGAGGAGAGGAGGAGGAGGAGGAGGAGGAAGGAGGAGGAGGAGGAGGAGGAGGAGGAGAGGAGGAGGAGGAGGAGGAGGAGGAGGAGGAGGAGGAGGAAGGAGGAGGGAGGAGGGGAGGAGGAGGAGGAGGAGGTGGATGGAGGAGGAGGAGAAGGAGGAGGAGGCCGAGAGGGGAGGAGGAGGAGGAGGAGGGGGAGGGGGAGGAGGAGGAGGAGGAGGAGGAGGAGGAGGAGGAGGAGGAGGAGGAGGAGGAGGAGGAGGAGGAGCGCCCTCCCCGTCTGGTCGACCAGCATTTCCACCATCGGTCCTGTCTGACACCTCTCGCCTCTTGCGAGCCGCCTCCCGCGCGCAGGCGAGCCTGCTGAACCAGGCGACCGACTGGTTCCTCTTCGAGCTCAGGCGCACGCTGGAGGGCCCCCCACCCCCCTGGGCGTGCGCGGGAGACTGTCGGCAGAGTGCGGGGCACAGACCTCGCAGGCCCTGCGGGGGCCTGCGAGGAGTCCCCGTGCCGGTGCCATCGCTCGCAGGCGATGTCTCACCCCCAATCCCCGCATGTTTCGCAGGCCCAGAGGTTGACACCAACACCAATTTCGGCGGTGTGCCTCCACAGAAGGAAGAAGATCCCGATCTCGGCGATGGTGGTAATATTCGGGCTTCCAAGGTGGCCGAAATATTACCACCAGCACCGACATCGAGAATCATCTTCCCCCTGTGGAGGCAACGCCCTGTATTGGTGTTGGTGCCTATTTCCAGGCCTCCAAATGTTCACTGAAAAATCAGGCCGCTCAGAAAAAGGCGGAATCTCGAGGATGCACCCCTAGGGGGGCTATTCGATTCGAGCGCACCCTTCTGGACGGCCCCCTACCCGAGTTGGGTCCCACGTTTCTGTTGCGTTCGGAGGCCCCACTGGGTCGGGGGTAGGTGTCGACGTATCCCCCGATCATCGCTTGACACGCAAGCAGGCGCCGCGATACGAGTGGCCCCAGCGTTCCGATGCAACATGTTGCATGTAGTAGTTGTGTTGCAGGAGGCCTTCTCATTTATGGCCTGCTCCATACGTGAGGCTGGCGTTCCGCAGGTGATCTGCGTTCAGGGTGCGCTTCGCTTTCTCGTCGCTACGTTTCGCGGACTGGCGCGCCGCGCTCTGCGTACTCAGCTTGTGCTTCATGTCTGTGGGGCCGTCTCACTTTCTTATGAGATATCTATTGGGGGCCTCGCGCGGCGCGTAATAGTAGTATGATCAAATCCACTTGTCAGTTCCGTAAGCTATGGGTCGACGCTCGCGCGGCGATGCTCCGGAGTCAGTCCGACGTAAATCCGACGCAAATCCGACGTAGTCCGACGTGAACCCGACGTGAATCCGACGTGGATCCGACGCACATTGGGTCTCAAGTTGCCGCGCGAGGCCTCCAGGATTTCCCTCATGAGCGTGCCGCGACGGCCAACCTCGCGCGCATCCGCCGCCGCCGGGGCATGCAGGCGGGGCTAGCACGGGAGGTCCGCCTCTGGCGAAGGCCTCCGTGTCCTGTGGACGTCCGCAAAGGGCAGAGAGGGAGGAGGAGGAGGAGGAGGAGGAGGAGGAGGAGGAGGAGGAGGATCAAGAGGAGGAGGAGGATCAGGAGGAGGAGGAGGAGCAGGAGGAGAGCAGGAGGAGGAGCAGGAGCAGGAGCAGGAGCAGGAGCAGGAGCAGGGGCGGGAGCGGGAGCAGGAGCAGGAGCAGGAGCAG